TTAAAGCTGGGTGACAAATCACTCCTCCTTCCCGAGCACACAGAAGATGACAGAATCAATGAGTCAGTGACAGGGAAAGAAAAAGTAGCAGACATTCCTAGAACTCAGTGCGATTTGAGAGAGAACTATCTCCCTAAAGGAAATAAATGAACTCACAAGCAGTGTTGCCAATGCAGTGAGCTGGCCTGGCTGATCGGTTCTTTGAGCAGACTAGTTCAGCTTGATGGGAACTCTGTCATGGGAGCTGAATTAAGCGTCATGTCACTTTTCAGACCAAGTTCCCAGGCTTTGCATAGTTTCCTGTTAAGTCATAAAGCTCATGTACCCTTCATTGCCCTGAGTGTCTCAATCTGTTATATCAATACTTACTTACAAATTGAAGGGTCAGTATACATCTATTCCCACAAGAAAAGGCCCTACATAGTTATAATCAATACAGATATCCCTGTATCATATTACTTACATTTTTAAAAATTGTATTAGTTATTTAATTTTTTTTTTAATTTTATTTTATTTTTGCATTATTAGATGAGTTCAGAAGGAAAAGGTGGGAAAAGGTCTGATTTCAGATTTGCATTCTGGATCCAAATTTGCATTGTCCAGGACTCCCCCCCAAAACATATAGAATTCCTGCCATTTTCTACAAGCTTTGTCGAAGCAGAGAGGTCTAAATCCTCTAAAATTTAGCAATGAGGTAACAGAGATGCCCAGCTCGATAGTCCACACGGTGTCAGAAGCTGCAGCAAAAGCTCAGGTGTGAGTTTTGTTTGTTGGTCTTTCTTTGCTAAGGGGATATAAGGAAGATAAAAATCCAAAGGAAGATAAAAATCCACGGGAAAATGGTTTAAACTCCACCGTTCACATAAAAACGGCGCCATTTCTTTTCTAACCTTATGCTCCCAAGTGCCCTGCAGGAGTGTCAGGTAGAAATGTGGGTTTGTTCTTAGTTCTCTTCCTGCAGACACAGACAAGACTTGCAGCTCTCTAACTAGGGAAGGCAGTTGCCTTTGTGTACAGAGGAAGCAATTTGTAGGCAATTTGCACTTCGGAGGGAAGTAGAAACATCAAGTTGCTACACTGTGTACCGTTTTGTTGTTGTTATGGCTCAGAACACACCTCGTGTCTCCAGGATTGTGGAGCTGAGTTCACAACATCCCGCTGAAGGCACAGCAGGGTGCACACGGGACGTGTGGCATCGGTACATGTAACATTGACAACATCGAGGAGGAGAAATTTGATAAATACAAACAAAAGCGCTCTTATTTAGTGCCTAGAGAGCCCTATTCTGTTAACTTCCACAGTTTTAGAATTAATTACAGATTTGGAAATTAAGAGATGGCATTTGTGAAGATGCATCACTCATTGCTTTGGTGAAGAGTGGGAAAAACTTTTTGGCTTCTTTTGCAGGGAACAACACAGAAAAAAAGCCAAATAAACACAAAAGCCACACACACAAAAACCACCAACAACCCACAAACCAAAACAAACAACCAAAACAAGCCAACAAACCCAACCGAACCACACATAGAGGTCTAGTTATTACCAAGACTGAAAGGAGAACGTGGCAACATTAAAGAATCCAAACTTCTGGTTTTCCTATATCCCTCATAAATGAAGCAGTTTATGGGACGAATCTGCTTTCCTTGATTTCTCCTTAATACTCCATTCCCCTTCCCAGTTGTTCTCTCCTCTACCAAATTTCTTCCTTAAAAAGTGTTCTCTTTAATTGCTAAAGTTTACAGACTCATGGGAGAGAGGGCAGGAAGTCAGGCTTTTGGGAGAGGGTAAAAATGTAAAGGTCATTCACACACTCACACACACATACTCTCTCTCACTCCAAAAATAATACACTATTTGACAGTTTCAGGATTCAGCATGTCCCACTGAAATTTGAAAGCTTATGTGAAACTAGGCCACGTCCTGTAACCTCAAACATTTAGTCTAGGAAAACAGCTCTCAAGTCTCCAGCTCCCACCCCGGGTATCGCATGACGTCTGTGCCAAACAGGAGACCTCAAACGGGGGAGGCAAAAGAAATGTTGGTAAAATGAGTTGATTAAAACAGGGAAATAACAGTTCAGACTGGTAGTGACAGGTTTTGGTTTTGTTTTTTTTCTTTCTGGCTAGTGAATTATTAAATTATACTCAAAGCCTCTCTAACAGGAGGCAGGCAGAATGGCTGAACCACCTTCTCATGTTCCATCTGCTGGCATGGACAAAGGAGGAAGATGACTCAGGCCTTGCAACAAAATTGTTTTACCTCTGGTGTGTTAACTATTCAAAAAATCACAAAAATCATGCTCAAGTTGAGGTTTAATATTTCTTCATACTGATGCATCATAGCACATCAGACATCAACTCTAAAAGATCAGTTATTTATTTCAGTTCTAAGCTTTCCAGTAGTTCCCCTTGTACTCTGCTCTTTCTGGGGAATAAACAATTAATCTTGTGGGGTCTAAAGGATTATTGTTTATTTTCCCTCACCTAAACATACTGTTCTCCCTCCCTTTAACTGCAATTTCAGTACAATGCTCAAAGACCATATGGAATGAGTAGAACAATCAATGCCATGAGATGTGCCAAACCCCTCATAGCTTATGGACGTTTGTAAACACTGTGAAGTGATACTGACTTGATACTGACCAGCTTCACACCTCCAAAGCAAACAATTGTTTACTTTTATATATATCCAAAATCGTCTTCCACAGCAAATACAACCCCAGACAATTTTAATAATTATTTCTGTGGGTCACTACTAAAATTGTACCCTCATTATGGCAGTAGATTTTATTTGCTGAACTGCAGCAATCACCAGCAAACTACAGTTTTCAGCTCTACTCCACTTCTGCTTTTGAGACATCATATTGCTGCAGGCAAATGATTAATACTTCTGTCTGTTACCCATTTTTATCAGGAAAAAAATCTCTAATGGAATGAGTATTTCTAAAGTTAAAGACCCTTATGTAGCACAGGATTTTTACATATATGGAATATTTCTAGCCTTCCTGGAAGTTATAATTATGATTAACAGCAGGTCTCCATTCCTGCCATCTGCATTCCCATATAGTGAATTTCACCAAAAAGAAAAAGGCAAATATTTTTATATAGTCTTTAAAAATCCATAGTCCCAAAAATAAGGGGAAAGATATTGGAAAAGATAAATGGAGCATGTGGGCAGATTTCAGTCTAGGTTAACAAATCACTATGCATCTCACCCATCTCCAGCCCTTCTTAAAAAAAGGGCCTAGCCTGGGCCTCTTGTTAACAATATCACTGCCTTTAAAGCTCTTAGAAGACTTGCTAATTATTCTTCCAGAACTGGCAGAAACTTGAGCTCTCACCAGACTTACCCACAACACTTGGGGCAGTTTAATGCACGAGAGAAATCAAAGTTGTATATTTGCTCTTTTGCAAAGAGAAAAAGCCTGTGGTTCAGTGCTCATTAGGCATTTGCATTCTGTGACTAATATGACCCTGAGAGGATGTAGAGAGCCCAATAGTACACATGCCTTTTTAATTATTGAAAGGATAGCTTGTATTTGTTAGATTCCAAATTTCTTAGCCAAACAGTTGTACAACAGGATACCCTTACAAAGGTGTTGAACCACATATGCCTGCAATTATACAGTATTTACAGTTTTAAATTAGATCATGTAAATATGGACTGGCAGAATGATTAACAGGAAAAAGAAAGCAACAAACAGCAAAATCCTTTCTAATTTATAACAAAACTAACAGAAGTTCTTCTACAAAAAAAAAAAAAAAAGTAATAGCTTATATTATATTGTTCACCAGCTTCTGCAAATTGAACTATAACTCATATGCTTCCTAAAAGCCACTCTCACAGCTCATACCATCACAGAGTGACTTCTGCATGGGACAGGCAGGGTGGCCCCATCACTTTGCACACATTCCTGCATCACACCGTGCTAATCCATTGGCCTTAGATTATAAAGCTACAGCTGTGTCTGCAGAAACAGAAAACACTACATCTTCACAGGATGAGAGTCCTCTCTCTTTTTGGGAGAAAGATCCCCAATACCTACAAACAAAGAGAAGCCACTGGAACTACAGGCTCTGAGATAAAACATTTACTGTGGGTGATCCCCGTCTCAAGCATTAAAACCCCAGTTAAAAGGTGCCACAGAATTACAGCCGAGCCACAGCGAAGAGCTGAAGCAGCCTGAAAGCTGCAGCCTCGCAGGGCTGAGGATGAGGCTGTGATGCCTGTCGGGAGGCTGGGGAGTTTTTCCTCACTTCAGTAGCTCAAAGCTCAGGAGGGACATACCCGCTGTAGGTGCAATACAGGTTAATGCTCGAATGCTTACGTAAAGACTTTGGACCCACAGAACAGAATCACTTTGCAGTTACACTGAATCACAGACCCATTTCTGTTGGACGAGACCTTTAAGGTCATCAAGCCCAAGTGTTAACCCGGCAAAAAGTGGCCGAATCTACCACTAAACCACGTCCCCAGGCAGCACACCTGGAAGCTGGGAACCAGTGAGCAGCACCAAAGGGGCAAGAAGCTGCCCTTGCTGCCTTTAACAGAGCTCTGGACGAGACCCCTGCAGGGCCCCAACCCGCCTTTGGCAGCCGGACCCGGCAGGGGGGCAGGAAGCACC